TCCCTCCATTCGCAGGTTATCACATGCCATTTACTGACTGCTTTTAGCAGCTGTACAGGTTGTGTACTTTTTGAAATTGGGGTCACTTGTCTTGGACTGAGTTTTATTTTAAGCATTCATTCCATTAGAGTCTTTCTTGAAAGTAAAACAATAGATGAGCATCACAGGTATAAATCAAAACATGTAAAGGGCAACTATAAAATGATAAAAATCTTTATTTCAATCATGTGAAAAACAATTGTCAGAAGAGAAAAATGAAAGGCGGATAAGAAAATGACAATGTTCTTATCAGTCCATTTCAGTCTGGAGCATAGAGTCCAAATATTTACCACATTGTAAATGTTTACATTAAGTGTACTAAAGACATTTAGCAAAGAAAGCAAAGCTGAGAAGTGGAGTTCCTTCGAGTCTAACAGCAGAGAGTGATGTTACTTTGGTATTGATTAGAGGATTTAAGTTCAGTTTTGATTCAAGTTGCCATGGTTTTCCATGTAGCTAATCACTTAATGTCAGGGCATTAGCTTCGGGTTCAAACGTGATAAGCTGCAGCAACACTTCCACTGGGAATCTCGGCAACTGATGGTCTCCACCCATCATCCCACCCTCTCATTCTTGCCTCCTCGACCTCCAACGGCCAGACATTATTCTAAGACGAAAGAACAGATCATCCATTTTCCCATAATGACTCAGGGCCAGGACTCCGGCTGTCAGTGCATGAACCCAATTCTGTTCTCGAGGTTCCGCTACGTGTGTCTTCCCGGTGACTGGCTGAGCTGTGGTTGTGGGTGTGGGGGTAGGGTTCACATGTGGGTGGGATGTCATCTTGATGCCGTGGCGATTACCGGAGGCAGACTGCTTTATTGCTCTCATCACTCCTGATAAAAAAAAAAACATTTTATCCCACATACATAGAGAGCAGCAAGGCTTTAAGTTGTGATTAGCTTGCAGTTGCAAAGCAGCCTGGTCATGCTGACTGATAGCCCCGCAAAAGGGGGGCACTAATTAGTGATGTTGAGTTTTCTGTTGGTGATTTTTCTCTTACTGTGTTAGTGAAAACAGGTCAAATTTTCAGGTCAAATTTTATTTCAGAATTCAGAACACAACCTTCAGGTCCGTCTGAAACCGCTAAAGTAGAGAGAAGGAGAGGCACATGAAGCATCGCAGATTACAAGGTCAGCGGGAATCCTTGGCTGTGACTATGCTGAAAAGGCTCTTCAGTCCTCATGACTCCCAATTACTAAATGTGCTCAGTCTCATGGTGCGTTTTTCAAATGGAACTTTGCTGTTGTCACAAATGAGAATTGCATTTTGATCAACACTCATTGGCCACTGTGTTAGGTTGTTGCTAATCACATCAGAACAAATGCACTATCCACAATAAAGCCAACTTGCTAAAATTCAGATTCAGACATTTTGAATGTGGCATGTCATTTGTTAGACAGGTTGGTCTGGTATTTACATTACTAGCCTTAACTTAATCTTATCCTTATTTTATTTTAGAAATGATCCTGAAAAGAGAAAACAGCCGGTGAGGAGCACTTGTGTGGATGAAAACACTTTAATTGTAACCATGCTGTACAGGCTTTAGATTAAATAAATGCCAAATAAGCAGTTATTACAGCTACATAAAACTCTGAACGGACTACATTTTGAATTCTGAAGAAGGTGAGCTACAGCTGCAGAATACTGTAAAAACTGGGGCTACAGTGTACACAGGTTCACCGGGCTATGTTCACACAGCAGGCGAATGTAACTCACATTGTCTTTTTATCCCATATGTGACCTATGTCCAGGTTTTTCACAACAGTCTGAATTGCCCAGTTTTGATCTTGATCCAGATCTTTTCACCTCCATAAAAATTCTCATTTGTGCCACCTTCAGATATGGTACTAATTTGGATACATATGTGGTATGAGTATGGTAGCAGGAGGCAGACATCGTAAATCCTGACTTAAATAGTGATATGAAAATTATTAGCTTGCAGTGCGACACATCACAATCCTACCTGTCCTGGCTCTGACTACACATCAAAACAGACTTTTCTAAAGAAGTTGCAGTCAATTCTCCACAAAAGGGCATTTTTTTAGTTGTACTTTCTTTTCATTAGCTTCTTTGGGTTGTTATGATCTTGCGACAATACTGAAAAACTTTAAATTGATCCATAGACATTGGCACCCATTATAACATAAGGAAACAGTGCGATGCTGTGTGACATCAGCAGTGTTCTTCAATGCATGCGATTCTCTTTAGGGGTTGTTCACCACTCACACAGAAGCCTGATTTTGGCCATATGTAACTAGTGATATGAACAGTCATGCAACAAAAAGGTGGATTTAACTAGAAGTCAGATTTGAGCATTGAGATCTGCTGCATAAATACAGCCTTAGTTTCAGCTAAAACATTCAGATGATACAGTATGTTCTGTAAACATAAAAACATCCATCCTGTTTATCAAACAGAACATGCTGGCCATTGCACTGTAGCTTTATCACCAAGTTATTTCCCATCATTGCACAGTCAAAACCCATGATTATCCTCACTGTTTTATCAAACTAATGAATATTAATCACTTCCTAATATACTAGTGAATGATCTCCTCTGACTGTATCAGTGCTGTTAGTCACGCTTTCTTGGCTGCCCCTCATGAATATGGACTCTTACGGTGTTCATGTGAGAAAATGTGTTGTCATGAAGTCTGTGTTCATGTGTTGTCATGAAGTCACTGTCACAAAACATCTTTCTAAATCTGCAGAGTGGTGATCTATTGTGCTTACAACTGATATAAGGTAATTTGTGTACGCAGCGCTATCAGTTACTAGGTTACACAAAAAACATTAAATTGACATCAGTGACTCGCAGGCTTATCAGCTCTTTGTGATTACTATTGTTACTGGCAAAAGTTTCATTTACTGTCAATGTTAATAATCTAACCCTTAAAAGTAATTTTTTTAACTTTCTGGGTGCGTTCACACTGCAGCCTGAAGTGACCCAATTCTGATTTTTTGGCAATTCCGATTTTTTGCCAGGCCGTTCACACTGCCAGTAAATGCGACCTGTATGCATTCTGCAGTGTAAACGGGCAAACGACCTGAAAGTGTCCCGCATGCGCACTAGAGGGCGCAATAGCGTCAGCGTTCTCAGTGTTTATGCAACTGCCATTAAAAGAAGAAGTGCTCAGTGTTTGCGGAAGTAAACATGGAGGCTAACGGTGGAGCTTAGCTTACATATTTGAAGTTGTTGTCCGGCCGGAGCCGCATATTAACAACAACTCAATCCTCATATATTCCATCATGTTTGTTGTTTTCTTCCGTATCAGGACGCAGAATAGTGAGATTTGTTGAGAAACAGTGACGTTCAGTTCAGATGAATGCGACCTGGACGTTAGGTCGCATTTGAATCGGATACGTATCGGATATGGGTCACATTCGAAAAAGAATCCGACCTGTGCTGTTCACACTGCCATGAAAAGATCGGATACAGGTCACATTACATCAAAAAAATCGGAATTGGGTCACTTCAGGCTGCAGTGTGAACACACCCTCCGACTTCAACAGCCTCTCACATAACTGTGGAGGAAATGTGTCCCTTTCTTCTTTACAATATTGCCTTAACGCATTGAGAGTTGCTGATATTTGTTTCTACACAGTTCTCCATAAGTTTCACTGTAGCATTGTAAATTGATTGAGGTCTGGACTTTAACTATTCCATTGCAGCACCTTGGTTCTTTTGCAGCCATTTATTGTAGTTTTGCTTCTGTGCTTGGGATCTTTTTATTTTTCATGAACCAGTTTCAGCTAAGCCTTTGCTGTTGTGAAATGTGCATCTAGAATTATTTGTTGATTTTATGGATAACTTGATTTTACCATCTTTGGATGGTAAAACATAGATGTGTCCTGCCCCAAGTGGAGGAGTGTAAGTATCTGGGGATCTTGTTCATGAATGAGGGAAGAAGGGAGTGGGAGGTCGGCAGGCGGATTGGCGCAGCGTCTGCTGTGAAGCGGGCGCTGTACCGGACTGTCGTGGTGAAGAGAGAGCTGAGTCAAAAAGCGAAGCTCTCGATTTACCGGTCGATCTACGTTCCCACCCTCATCTATGGTCATGAGCTTTGGGTCATGACCGAAAGAATGAGGTCCTGGATACAAACGGCCGAAATGGTTTTTCTTGGTAGGGTGTCTATCCCTTAGAGATAGGGTGAGAAGCTCTGATATCCAAGAGGGACTCAGATTTGACTGGTATCTGGGTAGTGATTTGGTGCAGATATGTAAGCTAAACAAAAGCAACATAACTCAGGGATGACATGCAGTAGCAGGTATTGTGCAGCAGCAAGATGGTTTTTGAACACTTTCATTGTCCCAATGAAAGTTGAGAATGTTTTGTGACTTTTGTTCTTTTAAATCAAAATCATTCGAAACAGCACATTTTAGCACTGGCGTTGATTTTACTGACATCCAGTGCATGGCTGAAGTGGTCTGTAACAATTGCTGCTTGATTTAAACCTAGAGAGAGTCCACTTCTTATTTTTTCCTGTCGTCGAATGGGGAGTAATTATTGTTTTTGCACCTTAGTCCTGAATCAAAGGGGAACCAAAATTACAGCCTTGCTTTGTCATTTCTTATCCTTCAACTCACACCTGACATTTACAGAGTCAAACAATTTGTTGCAATTTGTTTTTTCTCTTTATTCTTTTCTGGTCAAATATAATAACATCATAGAACTGAAAATATTCCCTGTTTGTTCTCTTTATGCTTTTTTTCTGTATTGAATGAAAGACGGTGGAGAAGTGGCCAGTGTTTGTACAACACCGCACACTCCAAAGACTGATAAAGTGCCCTAAAACATTAAGCCTTTTAGTATTTATACTACTTTATGTCCTTAAACTCTGGAATTAAACTACTTGGAAATATTACAAAATTTTCATTTAAAACAACTAAAGAGCTCTAAAGAGAGATAAAAAAAAAAATTCCTTCTGAGATCAAAGAAGCTGAAATACTTTGAGTGCAATGACGCTACTGATCTGTGTTAAGGTGTGTTTTCTTAAGGCTCATTTGTTGCTTTCTGTGTCCACAGTGAACAAACACAAGCCCTGGATAGAGACATCATACCATGGAGTGATAACTGAAAACACTGATGTTGTTCTGTTGGACCCTCCACTGGTTGCCCTGGATAAAGACGCCCCCATCCCTTATGCAGGTAGGCTACATTTCACCATCCACTCGGCAAACATGGACTAACTGGTATCTGCTAGAGGCCAGTCAACAATGACTAAAAAGTTAATCCTCACACGGAAGCATCGCTGCAGGATTTATTTACGCCAGAGATATAAGCCACATGAAGGTGTCGTGTGATATCCCTGAATGAATCCTCTCTATCGCATATACTTTTTGTTTGTTTTACACTGGACTGTACTGATTTAATTTTAAACTAATAGTTCTGAGTAAACACTACATGCAGGACTCTTTTTTTTTTTTTTTTCTATGTAATGTTGCCCATATAAGCCCCTCTGGCGACTGAGGAAGCTGTGAGAGAGAAAAAAAAAAAAAAACCCTTGTATAACCGGATTAGATTCTTCTCACTTTGTGGCCATTCCAGCTCATCTAAAGGGTGCCAACTTTTGCAGGGGGACGCCTGCTGGAGGCTACTGGCTTGCCCAGTCGTTCCCTTCTCCCGCCAAGCCGCTAATGTGGCCAGGGCCGCGGCAGGGGGCTGCTGCCCACTCACAGAGACCCTCAAGCTTAGCTGGCTGGAAGGACAGATTAATGGTTGAAGTGGGGGAGAGAGCGTGCACTGCGCACGCAAATGTGAATGTGTGCATGCTTGCGAGAACATGTTTAGCATTGGTTACAAATGTGCACATGCATATATATGTGTGTATGTGAGTGTGATTGTGTGTGCATTGTGGCCGGAGGGGCTTGCTGGCATGGCCACCCCACAGGGAGAAAGAGAGAGAATGATGAGGTCGGTGGGAGTAGCTGGCCGACCAGTACATGCCCTCTAGCTCTCAATAGACTGATGGCTACACATGGAGATGGTACGTGCACCTGCATGCATGGCTTCACACAAGCATTTTCCTACACACTCAGATCAGGCTTTGCATATAGACATTCCTGGAATTCCAAAGTGAGAGCACCAGGAGAGATTCCTCACTGAAATATTAATAGGCACAGACCAGGGTTACCTGTTGCTTAGCACTGAGTCTCTCTTCTTTCTTTCTTGCTATGGTAATTAGGTATCTCTGTCCACTCTCTTGGTTTCTTCTCATCATAACTTCCCAAATGTTTCACCTACCTCTTTGTATATTTCCCAGCAACCCCAAAAACCCCCAAACAATATTGCTTTTGCAGCTTTTTTTGAGCTAATACAATTCTGAATTTGATGGACAGAGTTATTCAGTAATTAGCCGGATAAAGTCCATCTGTTTTTCATGCGATTGTAGAATTACAAGTCGGTGTACAGGTAGTATTTGAGCCTTTTTTAATTAGGTCAGACAGATTTTCATTAGGGTAATGCTCCAACATGGAGATACAAAGCCTGACTGGTAACAATTTGCATGAAGCACCAGGCCGTGCATCAGTGGTGGACAAAAAAAAAAGCCTGCAAGCTCTCCCTAATGCTGTAAGCCATTAAAATGTATAACATTCCAGATTGTGTGAGTGTGTCAATCACATTTGCTGATCTGTTTCTTACAAAACTATTCACACTGCTTCCAAACTCTCAAATTTTGTGATCTTACAATCACAAGTCCCGGAAAACTTTGGGAGGATTTTATGTGATGGACGACTACAAAATATTTTTAAAATATTCTCCATGGTTTTTTGGTTTTTTTTTTTTGTTTTGTTTTACAAATATATTTGCTTTTTTTTTTTTTTTTCTTTTTCAAAATACGCCATTCGTCCCAACCACTCAATAAACTCTCATTTCAGTTACAGCTGCCTTTCTTGGGGGACTTCCCCAATATCAATGTGATGCTGCAGAGGCGTGTCAATCGACACGACCCAACATCTGGAGCCTTAAGGAGCTCCAGGCAAATCTCATCCAGGTGTATTAATAGTAATAATAGACACAGGCCGGCTGTATTTACAACCTTGATGACAATTGGTTGCACTCTCATCTTTTTAAAGAGGGTTTTCTTTGTTAAAAAATCTTAAATACTCTGCATTACTTTCATTTCACCTCACAATGACTGCTTGTGGTACTTTAGTGTTTTGGTCTGTCACGACATTATCAGATGCACTCGTGTGTGTAATTATGTGACGCGTCAAATAATGTATGAATGCTTTTGGAAGACACTGCTTTTATTCTTTAAAAAAAAATCCTGTAACTTTAGACATACTGACTGTAAGACCAACACGCAGTTCAGATTAATTCAGAGAGAAAATCCCACTAAGTCGGCACAATTCCACAGAGTTTCCCTGTTCTTCTTTTACATCGCTCTGAACCTGTCCAACATTCCTCTGGGGCTGCTGGGCAGTCACTGATCTGGAACAACAGAAATTGTGGCAGAGTTGTGTCTGAAACTTGACAAAAACTGACACCCACCTTGACTGTGGCTCCAAATCAACTCTCCACCTTCAGAATTACCTATTCAGGACTTCAGGAAGAGTGAAGGGCACCTGTCAGCTCTAAAAACTTCTTCTTTTATGCATGTCTGTGTCTGACAGTGTGCAGTCAGTTTGCACTAACAAACAAAAGTAAATAGCTTAGGTAAAAGAAAACAACAACAAGTTTATTCTTTATGTTAAGCTGACAGGGTACCTTGTTGTCAGTTAGGTTGTGGTTTTCACAAGCAACAGAAACCCTTCACAGCTTCTGTCTAGACTAAAGATATCCATAATTTTATTAGTTGACAAGCACCTACGCAAATTCAGTCCATCATTCTTCTGGATTTTCCCACCTCAGTGACAATTGTACATGAGGGTGATGCTGAAGCCTCTGAAAGGTGAAAGAACCAGGCAAACACTATAGCTCCGTAATAATGTGCAGAAACAAGTCAGGGAAGGCTGCATGGAATAAAAAATATGGGCTCTGAATCAGTTCAGCTCAACCAATTATCTCCGCACATCGGCTCCCTCTTCGTGCTGTGATTCAGTCTTAGCTTCTCGTTTTCATGCTCGATCTGACTTAAATAAATGTCATGCCTGTTGTTGTCAGTGGTGCATGCCCAACTCTTTCTGCCTTACCTGTAGGCAGAAAGAGTTACTGCCATTTACTAGTAGATATTACCTTTTGTTGACAGAAACATTTTCATTATTGGAAAACAGCAGATAAGATAAAACCTGTTTGTTTGTATGATTCTGAGTATTTATATATCTTCCAATTCCCATGCCATAAATGTCAGTTATCCAGTTATTTTTTTAAACAGACCCAGCCAGAGCTTTATTACTGATCATTCTTCAAAAATGTTAAATGGAACATGAGCCAGTAGATGGTAATGAATCCATGTTAGGACACTTAGAAATGCAAAAGAACATGATTCTAAAGAACAGTTCAGCGCCAAATTACTCATATCCCTGGCATATCTACCAAAAACATAGCTTTCATTTGAATAATATATGCAAACATAGAAAAAAATCTTGATTACAAAACATTTGCATTAGGGGGAACGAGGTAATGAGAAGTTTTGTACAAGGGAAAAAAACGCTAGTAGTCAAAGTGCTGAATATCTAATGTTCTTGAAAGTGATCAATGACGCGTTTGGTGGTTTGATCAGCTTTTTTTTTACTGCAAGTTCTGCTATAAGTACATTTAAATCTATAAATATAAATATTATGAATTATTTAGTTTCATCATCCAAGACTGATATCCATGCAGTTGATTGATTTGAACTGGCTTTGTTTAGATGATTTGTGGAGTGTCACTGTTCAGAAAGAGCTTGCAAAGTGCTGGGTTTGCCAGGTTAATCGGCAAGAGTTTTGCTAAGTGCTGGTATTTGGTACAGGTCAAATGATTGTCAGTCACTTCTAATATTCTATCGCCAACATGCCTATTGACACTGACAGCTTTTCATTTTCTTGCAGGGAAACTTATTGTTAATGTGTCAATCCCTCAGTTTCACCGGTCCCCAGAGTCCTGTGGTTTTTGCTTGGACAAGCAAGCAAATGTCTCACCACTGACCCACAAACTGCATACTCTATGCTCTATCAGCAATGCTTGGAAAGATTCAAAGTCCCCAAATCACCCCCACACACACACACACATACACACACACACACACACACACACACACACAAGTTTGTATTTCTGCTCATATTAAGACTTTGTATAGACTTCCATTCATTTATGCCTAATTTATGCCTAAAGTAAAACCCAGACAGTTTTACATCTAAACTTAACCCTGAACTCTAAACAATGGGGTCAACAGTATTAGAATTGGGCTAATATCGCTGTGATTAAATAGATGTTACTGTGTAATTGGGGGAGACATGTCAAGGTAATTATAAAAAGTATGCTGTATCATTCACACAGTGTCAATGAGCTCCACACAATATGTTGATGGAGAGCCAAAGTGGGATTAATGACAAAAGAAGAGTGAAACAGGCTTGTCTGAGAGTTGCGACATGTTGCATGACTCACAAAGTACAAAAGCACAAAATAAAGATTATTCAGAAAGGAAAAAATAGGTTGTAATGGTTAAATCTCAGGGGCATTACATCCACAATTAGAAATGCTGTTAGTCACAATCTAGAGCTGTATTTGCTAAAAAAAAATATGGTTTAGTGCAACAGTAGTCAAAATCTGCTTTAAAATCTGTTCGGTAAGTTCCTTTCGCATGTTGGAGTCGCTCTGTTAGTTCTGATTTGTTCTTTTTGTAGACTTTCATTCATTATTTTTTGGGTTGAGGCATTGCATGTTTGGGCAATTAATCCCTCTGGATTTTTGATCTTGCAGTGTTTTGTTTTTTTTACTTTTGGACAGTTGTTATTATGTGTAACTGTGACAACAATTAGTTGCTTTTACAAGTGGGAGCAGCTGGTGATCTTCTGAAAAGCTCAATTAATGCCTTAACTGCAACCCATGGCTAAAGAGTAGGACTAAAAAACAGAGAAAAGAAGGAAGTCCAAACCATCTCTTCCATTAATCCTAATGGGCATGGATCGTCTGTCTGCCTGGCTTTCTAATGAAATAGCCAGACAGATTTAAAGAGGAGCAACAAAAGAAATTAAGATGGATCAGCAATGCCTGCCAATAACTGA